TGGAGGGTCAATATTTGAAAGCAATACAGAATGCCTGAGAGTCTTGCCGCATTATATTCCATTATATTTTGAATTGTGATCAAGCGCCTCAATTTTGTGTTGTCCTCGACATCAGGGGTGTTCAATTAAAATTCACCGAGGTCCAGTTAGAGAGAATTTCCTCATGCAAAGGTCCGGAGCATCACAGTAATGTCTAACTTGCGCTATGATTTAGTCCCATATATATATATTGAAGTAGCCAACAGTTGTATTAACGTCTGTATGTAGTCAACAACTGACTGTCATTTGAAATATAGAAAGTTCAATTGAATAATATCTCAACAATAGTTATTGTCAGTTTTCAAATTGAACCGGATGAATTATAATAGACACGCATACATATAATCTAATAATAAATAAATGATCTATTCTCATTTCAAGTAAAATAAGGGCTGGATTAAAAGATAAAATACATAACAAAACGCTTTAAAACAAAAATATGCATCTTAAAATAAAGTACTTCATTTTAGAAAAATTAGCTGAACTGAATTGACCTGCAGCTTTAAATTTAGTTCTTTCAGGTGTGAAGTGATGTCAACCACGATGTTATATTCTTATCTTCTAAAAAGAGAAATGCATGTGCATCATCATAACATCATTGTTGGGCAGGGAATTCATGTGTTTTAGGATTCGGATGATATTGAGTGGGTGCGTTTGCTCAAAAGAGTTGTTCTTTGTCACGTAGTGTCGCTTCTCATTGCCGCTTTTATTAATCGCTACGGTCTCTGAACATATGAGACACACTGGTTTTAAACTGCCCGTGGGAAGAATGAACCTTTAAGAGTCTATCCATTCTTGGTTAGAGACTGGTCTCTCTGCTCTCGCTGACCACATTCCTCTTTTTGGAGAACATCATGTGAAATAACTGCTCTGACTCACGTAACGCTGATTCTCTGAGGACTCGGTATCTCGCTCCATTTCTCCCGTGTGTGTAAATCTCACTCGAGTCACGAAGTTTATCGGAATACACATATTTGATTGGCTGAGTTGCATCACGTGAGATGATTTACAACGCATGTAATTGGTCGGTGTGTTTCCTGCACCGCTGAACGGTTTTAGGTCCAGGGTCCGGATACAACGGCGTCCAGATCCGGACCGCGGTCCGCCTATTAGTGACCCCTGCTCTACATAAATAAAGACATTTCTACCATAAATGGGTGCATTACAATTAACCAGAATGCAGGAAATTAAGTGTTTGACGCTTACAATTTCCTGGCGGAGAAACTCCAGAGACCCCCCCCGCGCTTAATACGCGTCACCTTGGTTTGACTTTTTCTATCCGTTTTATTCATCGCATCAAATTGACTGCCTTTTTTCGAGATACTTGCTTACGCTGAAAGTCTGTAGGTCAATGCTGCAAATCAGCCGACAGTACATTGCTACAGGGGATGTCACATTCCATCAACTGACCACCAGTGAATGCAATGTAGATATCTAGCTGCATGAAAACAACAGAACACAGCCGATGGCAAATCAGTGCAGCGTAAGGGGGGCGTCTCCTTTGAAACTTGAAGACCTGGACACCACTTCCTATGATGATTGAAAAGAAGATCTGAGCTGCATAAAACATAACATCTTGACTTAACATTCCCACACAAAATATAGTTGTGATGAGTCAAGGGATGTGCATACTTTTGCACTTTTCATTTAGATTCACAAGAACCTGACTTGCTGCTTTTTTTTTTTGGGGGGGGGGGAATGTTATTCCATCACATTCACCCACAGCATTATGGAGGGATGGATTGATTTTTCTTCATAATAGTCCTACAGAGAATGAAGCTAGGCTGTAACAATATAAACTTCCACTGCAACAGCTCTTTTGCCAGGCATTGTGGGTGTGGTCTAAGGCCAACTAATAGACATGAAAATGAACTTAAGAAAATAACCTTGTTGGTTCTCGCTGCTCCAAGCTGCTGCTGACACGATACTTTCAAGCATCGCTGGACCATCTACTTTATTGTCCCGTCTTTCTTTTTTTACAGTCCACTGTGGGATAATGTCATGTAATAAAGTATGTTAGTTAAGGTAAACAGCAGATGATGCTAGCCAATCTTAGATAAACCGATGTCATCAACTGTCTCCAACAGCCCACAATATCCTCTACATCCTAAAAGATGAGGAAATACACACTTAGCCTGGTGAGAATGTTTGTTGTCAGTTTAATGTAGTTCCACATTGCAGCATCAGACAATACACACCCTGGAGTTAGGGGAGTTCAAATCAATGTGGTAGACAAGAGCGTTAAAACTATTGATTGCTCGGTGTTGTTTCTATTGCCTCATCTCTCATCTCTTAAACAGAACCGAACATTTGTGCGAGAGAAGGCAAACCCTGTTCCAGTAAGCGGGGCTACCATGACTACCTTAAAGCTCTGCTTCAGTGCAACAACAACAGGCGGGGTTTCATGGTGTTCAGCCAACACCGCTTCCTCTCCCAGGAGACGGAGAACACAATGCCCTCCGGACCGCCACTGATTGCATAGTTTCACCCATAAATTATAGCGGTTCCTTATCCCCGGTAACCAGGCTATAAACCGCACACGGCATAATGAAACTGAGCCAAGACATTCAGAGGATTACATACAGGTGGCCCCAGTGACAGAACCAGGTTTTATACTGATAATGGTAAATTGAGCCCAAAAAAAAAAAAAACAACAACCCTGTAATTTGGTATTATCAAATGAGGAATGAGGAAGAAGAAATAGGCTACATACCGGGTGGAATTAATTGTGTGTCAGAAACACTGAACTACACTGATTTGGCTCAATGGGGGACGGATTCTTTTGGTACCAGCTTTGTAGTTTTACAAATCTTTTTTTTCCTCCAAAGTTCCTCCAGAGTTTGTCCAGAGAATCACAGTGAAATAAACAGCAGTTATAAAAAGTCACCTCTTGATTAATGAAGCATGCTTAGCAATGGTTATCAATCTAGTATAACATAATCATCCTGAATATGGCTGTAGTCTACTGTAAAATATCCTTAAAAAATAAATAATACATGCATAAAAGATGGTTGTACAGTGATACATATGCAGTTATTCTCCAAAGGGCAGAGCAGAGTTTGTCCATGCTTGGTAGACTGGAATAACTGCTATTGCCTTGTCTGCCTCTTGTCATATTCAGTAAAATATATACTGGGGTGTTTATATAGTTCCTAATTAGCAAAATTACTGCAACTAACAAATATTTGTACGAATTATTTTGACGATTAATTGTATCAAAGGATGGGAAATCATTTGTGATTAATTAATTGAGGGACATATTGCACTACTGTAGTGTTGAAATCATTAGGTAATTATTCAATCACACAATCGTCAGAAAGTAACATTAACATATTTTAGGTGCCTCCTAAAACCCTTAAGGTGTCTCCTCGTGCTCTGATTGGCATTAGACACCATTTTTCCTAAATTAATAGTATAATAACAAAAAGCAATTGACAGATTAATTGAATCTGAAAAAAAACTTCTCACAAACTCAAAACACACAGCACACTTGACAACAAAAACATGTTTTCACTAAACCATATATGAATAATTAGATTATTTCAGCAGCAAGTGGTCCCCTCTTCCAGCTAATAAAGTGGCATGGTAAACATAAGGGGGGGGGGGGGGGGGAGGAAAGAGCCCCACAGCGCCCTGACAGTGGGGCCGAGCATGCCTTCTTGCCAATCACAAGTTCAGATTCTAAATACAGTCACTATGTGACCCCCCCAGAGGCATCCGAGACCCCCACATCTCCAGTTACAGGAAGAGAATGTGGCACAAACGCTTGGCTCTGACTCCACTGCAGTGTAGGCCCACTGTTGAATGCAGAGTAGCCTGAATGCTGTGTGTATGCAAGCAAGGCCAACACATACGAACTCTGTTGATATTTTACAAATTTAAATTGCTTTTTCATCTAATGCATATGAGAACAAACAAGCCAAATATAGCAACAGTTAACTTCAGTTTGCGAGACAAAAGGCAGACAGAAGATATGGATGAAATACCGATTTCTTAACAGTGCCTGAACTCAACTCTGAATGCACGTTGTTTTACCGTAATATTCGAGTAAGGGACAGTCGCAAATCGCAACGCTTAAAAATCAGTTTTGTTTCACGCAAAGGTGCCAGGTTGCCAACTAATTGTTGTGGAAAAGAACCAGTAGAGACTTGACAATAAAGTACCGTTACACTTGCAGAGTAAGGCAACGCCAGGCTATGGGCTTCGCTACTTAAAATATTTTGAGTGAAGCACGAAGGCACGATAAATAATTCAAATCATTTGCAGAGGATTTAGTATGACTTGTAATTGAATGCGGGAGATAACGAGGGACGAGTTTATTTCAACCCTTCGCTACAATATCAATTAAACAAAGAGGCAAAAATTACCAAACAAAGAAATGTAAGAGCTTTGCAAACACGTGAAGGGAATAAAGCTAAATGGTCTTCGAGTGAGTGAAGCAATTGAAGGATTACCGAGCAAATCCCGGACGATTAAACAGCAGTTAATGCAGATGTGGAACCGTTGTTTTACGCGCACAAAAGTGGCCGGTGTCAGCTAGCTTTAGCCACCCCACTAGCCTTGCAGCCTAGCTCGTCTCTGCCCGACAGGCTCTCATAAAATCAGTAGGAGATGGCTTTCAGCACTGGGCTCCCTGGATAGCAGTGCTCTCTGTGCGGTTTAGATAACGTTAGTACGCGACACTGATTTTAGCTGACGAGGCTACATACCTCAGCACATTTACGCCATGGAGGCATGTTGTGGTATATTGAGCAGTTGAGTATTTCGGTGCAGGGATTTATTAAACACTGCCAACTAGCAAAATGATGAATGAAAAGGCAGACCTCGCCTAAGCTAATGTTAGCTGCACAGCGGGTCAGTCAGTGCAGCAAGCGTAATGCTACCAGGCTGCTAGCAACAGAAAAAAAAATAAAAAATAGCATCCAGTTGACAAACCTCAGCATCCAACTAACATTACGCACCGTTAACCGTTGGAGATGACACCTCTTGCAGGTCCGCGAACTGTGTGCAGCGCCTGGTTTCACTGAGTAGTCCCAAAAAATGGTGTCCTGTTGTTCAGTTAACCCACGGTGAGCAGTGAGAATCGACTCTTATCCTGACGCTTTCCTCAATCGTGTGGTGCTGAATCTGAGGCTACACGCTGCTGTCGGTGTCTTGGAAATGCCTCGTCTTCCTACGCCTGCCTGCGAAATAATGACCCCTCCTAGCGATCCGACCACAACAACAGAGTAGGCAGGTGCAGATGATGGTGCGCTACTAACGGGAAGCCTTGCAATATAGTGGGCTGTGTGGTAGGCTCCAGGGTTGTCAAATCAGGAGAGCCTCCGTCGTTGACGCATGCGTGGTTCCCAGTGCGAGGATGCGCCCTGCTAGTGAACACATTGTAAGGGAGTATTTCTGGGCTGTGACATATTGTGGGAGGGCGCATGGAGATTCCAGCTGTAGTTATACTTATAACTATATGACATATCTAATAGCCTAACTGTGTTTATGCCATAATGCATTTAGAAATATGCCAATATAATGAATTTTGAAAGTCATATGTAGAAACGTTTGGAGAGTAATAGCAGATTAATGTGGCCATTATGAGGCCAGAAAAACATTTATTTTGAAAATCTCCGACATTCTGGGTGCAAATGCGCTATGCCAGGTTGAGGTGGACCAATTGTGGCTATTGAAAGTGCCTTGTGCATGGTGTTATTATTTTGTATTTGTATTATTTTCTTAACACTTGTTAAAATTATTTGAAATAAGAATCTGAGCAAAAAAAATCTAATAAATAAAGATATTTTTGATCGACAGGTCAATGCAGTAGTTGTATGATAAGCCGAATCGACATATTTGAAAAAATAGTTTTTAATGTGAATGTGAAGTGCTGCCTACAACTTAGGAAATAACATGGCTAAAACAAAACTAATGAAATATTTTCTTATGCACAGTAATTAGCAAGATTTAGTCACTTTAAGTTACTGTGAAGAACTTTAAACTGCATAAAACAGTCTCAATTTAATACTGATGCCTCTATATGACCTAAATAAGTAAACAAGACCATCAGCAAGAAGATTGGCTTTTTATATATAGTTATATTTAATGCTCGTCATCGGTGCCAGCGGGTCAGATTCCGCGCAAAATCAAATGAAATCATATGCAGGTTCACCAGAAACAATTTCAGCTCAGACTCCAGCGTGGCCTCCGGCAGAGACCAGCCCACCTTGGACAGACCCCAATCTGGCTCCGCTGCCACCTTCGACCTGTACGCTCTGGCGGGAAGAGGACAGCTCCGTGCCTGGCAGCAGTATCTCCTCCTCCTTCCAGAAGCAGAGATTTGCCTCATCACTTCGCCGGTCCCCGCTGGGAGCCAACACCACGCTGCTGGAGGCCCAGGTCGTATTTCAGTCCCACTGGAGGGATGGCAAGCGCGGGAGAACCAGAACCAAAATCGAGCAGGGCAGAATTCTGCAGTAAAATGAGGTTTCCTAAAGGGAATCTGGTGCTCTGCCACGAAATGATAGTCCTTGCTTAAATTATTCAATCCAGTTACTGATATTGCATTAGATTGACTCATTTCAACAAATGGGTTTACGGCATGTCAAGTCATAAAATATCTACACTTACGAATAAATCAGTAAATCCTTTTCAAAAGCATTCAATAACTTAATCCTTATTTCAAACACAACTTTTGTACAATTTACATTATTTAAAAATTACTTTTTTCGTCTCGAGCAAAGTTTATTTTCCCCGGATTTGTCTCTCTGAAAAATGCCATCTTAGTGTTAGACAATTTGGAAGATAAGTGGCTTGAGAAAAATGGGTCCAATATTTACTTTGCTGACTATGGAGCAAAATAATTGCTATTAATCTGTGTTTACATTCAGTTCTCCCACTGGAGTTAATGGACACAGGACCTGCTGCTCATCCTAAAGGGGCAGGGTGGTAACAAAACCCACATGATGCAGATACAGGGAACTGACTCTCAGTGGGGTGTCTCTGTTCTGAGCTAGGAAAAGAGTGTGGTTGACGTTAACTTGACTTACTAAAGACCCACGTCACTACAGAGTGAGAGAAATATCACGTGACTAGAATATAGGCTCTTTTGAGATGAGCTAGTCCTGCGCAAAATCGATCACCGGCAAACGCCGCACAATGCATGCTGGTTAGGTTTGTGTCCGACTTGATCCCGACCATAGACTGTATATAAGAAGTGGACGTAGTCATCTTGACGTCACCCATTGGTTTGTGGACTGCTGTTATGAAGCCTCGAGGTTGACGTTTTGACCGTTGCCATCTTGGAATATGGCCGTTTTTTTGCAACCGATGAACGTAAGTTCCCATATTTGGAATGCGGAAGAGTGACGTAGCAACAAAGGGTACGGCTCTGGTAGCAGCAGCGACCTTTCAATCACAGTATGCCCGCCCTAAAGCATGCTCCGCTTTATGGACTATTTTACTCTGAATGACTTGGAGCCAGGTGCCAGTGCTTGGGGCTGTTTAGAGGCTGTGAGATAGAGACAGGCGGCTAAGATTCAAGCAAGGTCTTGTTGGAAAACCAGAGGGAGGGCGGTAGTTGTGCAGGGTGCATGCACACTATCGGACGGCCTCCAATGTCCATGCACTTAATCCTGAACTCTGTCTTCGGGCTCAACTACAACTCAAGTACAGTGCCTGCATAACCACAGATGGCAATCCTGCTGTCCATCTCCTGGTCCATCCTAACCTCACTCGTGAACAAACCTGATCTCAGCATATTTTCTACCTAATGAAGGCATGCCAGTTTTGGTAGAGAGACAATAATTATTCATTCATTCAACATGTCAGCTCACGGGGACTGGCTTTGAGGGGAGACACAAAAGTTATTTTTAAGCATAGTCTGTTGAACTTGAGGTCGATTACAGAGTCTGAAATGGGCAGGTAATCACTGAAAGCCTTAGAGTAGTTATGTCTCCCAAGGAAAATGGATTACACAGACTTCCAGCCAACATATTAGATCTGTACGACACTGCTAAATTAGATAGACCTATGATACTATGCAGCTGTGGCAGATGAACCTTTTGTTGAACACCAACAATCTAATCGTAGGCACTATCGTAGGCACATTAACGATATTAAAACACTATCTCGAGACAAAAGCCTGAAAGAAGCGTAGAGGTTTTAAGGTGGGGAACCATGGCCTAAACATCTTGATAAAAGCAAAAAGTGAAACCTGGTTAGTCTAAAAGTCACAGTCAACAATAGTAATGTTGAATAATTTATTGGTAACAAACATTGTTACAGTATACAGCCAGCTGTGAGCATCGTCTTTCGTCTCAACATTTTCTTTTTCTTTGTCTTGGGAGAGGAAAAGTGCAAGGACAGCAGCCCATTGTCTCCCATCTGCTCATGTTTTTAATGCATGGCAGCAATCCAGCACAACATGTTAGCAAGCCATTCTTCATTTGTCAGTTAGGGGACCATGACTATGGAGTTACTTTAGTGAGTTGTTTCACAGTGTATCCCGGCCTTACACTATTTGGTTCACTGGCCTGATCCATCTGGAGCAAAGCTACACTGGGAATAACCCAGTGAGTTTGAGGAGCTGACTACTTTGTTATATTCAGATCAAGGCAAGCCACATAATGCAGTACAAGATGAGAAGCGCTTTTATGCTTATCCCTCTGAGAATTTAGCATACCGTTACTCATACTTACATAAAATCCCTTCAGTTTCCAACACATATTCACATCCCTCCGTAATGTCCAGCTGGGCTCTCCACTCCACCCAGAGGAGAGGCACTACAGGGACTGCAATCAGAAAATGTCCCTGGACTGGCTTCTTCTGCTCTCAACATAATGAGGTCATCACTACACCCAACCCGCTGTACTTTGGGGATGAATAATAAAGTTGTGCAGACTCTCGGCTCTCAAAACCGTATACTTTATCATGTGATTTAAAGAGATGAGAATACAGAGGACAGGAAAGAAGGGTTGGGACTGCCGTTTTTGATAACTGTCATTGGAAAAGAATATCTCTTGAGGACAATAGCTTTAGTTTTCCGTTTCTTTTAATCGCTCCATTGTGAAACAGGTGTCATTCACATCTGTTGAAAACAGTAGCCAAGAGACGTTTCATTTTCAAAAGCCAGACACATAAATGTTAATTGAACTCAAACTATTACCACTTAGGAAAGAGCTTTAGATTTCACCCTGAAGATCATGAAGTCTATACCGCACCTGGTAACGCTGATGTAATGATGGTAATAGTGGCAGAAGTAAAGCGCTGTCTCTTATCGACAGTTTTCTTTCCATCACTTTCACTTAAATGGCGGGCAACATATTGTGTCTTTGACAAAATACAATTCACCTCAATGTTGAAAGATACTATAATTGTACTAATAACTATTCAAATATTTATTTTTCAAAGGCCAGGCTATGTTTTACAAAATGCTCTCTTTGTGGCTGCCATTTACATGAAAGTGATGCGTGGCACTGTGCTCCAGCTACATGCTCCAGAGTGAGTGGTGACAGCTGTGTCAGTGATGTGCCTGTAGGGTACAATGTGCAGAAGACATGTGATGGACCCCTGGGACTCCTCCACGTGGGAAAAGCCAGAGGTGGTTTGGCCGCCTCCGCCTTGAGCCAGTTTGGCACAAAAGGCAAATGTTCCCTCCCTCACTGCAGTGAGACGTGGCTTACTGGAAAAACTTTAAGGAGGCAACTGTAGGCGAGTAAGGCACAGCAGAGTAAGGTCCTGGCCTCCATGGGTCCATTAATTCCTGATCGGGGATTATCCCTTACTTAACCAACGCTTACAAGGACCTTAATCTAAACTTTCTCAGCCCAGCTTTGACTTATTATTGAAGTATTAACTCGGTATAATAAATGAAAAGACTCCTATTGTGCATTACTCCCATTACCAATGATAAGAGGATTATCAAAAGGTATGTATGAAATTACACAACTGCAGTATGTGCATTTGGATAGCAGCTTTTTGAAAAGTAAAAACTGTGAGAAAATCTTTTACCGTATGCGATCCTTTATATTGCCTTCCAAAAGAGGGACATGATCCATAATACTTTTCAATATTGCTGCAAACACAATGCCTCTCAAGAAAAAGCCCAGGGTCCTTCAGTTTGAGATTGAGTTAAACTGTTGGCAATACTGCAACAAGAAAAAGGCAAAGTCTTTTGAAGCATAGTCATGGCTACCACAGCACTTCTTAGAATGTATATCCATTATTGGGGGATTGTAATAGAGCCCCTATTCATTATCTGTATTCATTATCTGTATCCTGAGGGCAGTTTATAATCAGGACCAGGATGCGTCTTTTGATAGTCCTATGAAGA